GTGCCAACCAGGCCAATAGGAACATGTGGGATTAATCAGGTCGCAGTTTGATTGGAGGTCAGAGAGGTAAATGGTTCTTCAAGGTCCCTACCCCTCTCTCTTACTTCTGGTGACTGGACCACCGTGCTGCTGCTTTAGCTAGTTCTCTGCTTTAACCTGTGATCTACACTACCTGTGGGCCAAGCCAATCCATGTATCTTGTCACTAGAGCTAGTGGCTCCTTTGAGACCTGCTTCACCACGCTGCTGGTATGTACATCACTCAAGCTTGAGGCTGGTAGAGCCTATCGCCTTGCATTGCTTGAGTTTGATATCCTATCGGGGCCTGTTTCGCTAAACTCCCGAGCTACTGACTGTTGGTGAGCCACCCTGCTGTTTGCTGCCTGTGGGTAGACTGCTTGCCTTGTCCAAGGGAAGACTCGGCTGCCTGCTTTCTTGACCTTGAACCCAGCAGCCACAGCCCACATGAGTTGGGGCTTCAGTATATTAACTGTTCCATGGAAGAAAGTTAAACTGAACCCTCTGTACTGCTGTGTGGACCAATTAGCTGTTACATTCCTTCTCACTGTGTGTGTGTGTGTGTGTGTGTGTGTGTGTGTCTGGTTTTGTTTCTGTAGAGAACCCTTCCTAACACAACTACTTAAGCAAAATACAGCTGCAACCATAGACCCCATAAACATAGAAGAAAGTATTTTCTTTTCTCACAGGAGAAAGAATAAGAATTTTGAATTTAGAATTCTCATTCTAACAAGTATATCCTTATCCTGTTTTCTTAACCCTTTGGTCAAAAGTCATTATAAGCCTTATTTTCATGGAAACCTTTTCTGTGTTCTAGTAAAACATTTGGATTTAAATTATGGAAATTTATTATAAAGTACTTCCAGAGGGCTGTTTACTGATCAACTAAAAGAGATGGGTATTGTGAAAATTAAATGACATGGCATGTTAAGTTAAATAAATGTTATCTTTGGGAGGAGTTGGAGCTCATGCTGTAAAAAGAGAAAAGACTACTTTAAATAGAGCTGTCTTCTTCCAGAACAAAAACACTTGTTTTGCTGTTGCTAAGAAAATCAGCAATATACAGACCAAATTATTGGTTGCAAACAGAACAGACAATGGGGTTTCTCAATTGAAAAAGCAATTTAATTCCTACAAGTTGGCTGCCATTGAAATCACTGAGTGGAAAAAGACCAGCAGAATTTTTTTTGCAGGTTAATCACTTATGATGGGTTAGGATTAGGGTTAGGGAAAAAAGAAAAGAAAAAAAATCACTTATGATGATATTTTTTCCTCTGTCTTTTCGGGTGTAAGAAAACAAGGACTAACCCATCCTCTGTAGTTCCCTGTACAGAGTTCCTCTGTAATTGTTTACTGTGGATTTTTTTTAACCTTGAAAAGATTTGAAAGAAGAGTATAATTTATACAAACCCTTTACCTAAATTCACCAGTTGCTAACATTTTGCCACATTTGCTTCCTCACACCCACTCCTGTGCGCATTAGAAAATATATTACAAGCAGTACTCATATCATCTCTAAATATTTCAGCATGTTTCCCAATACCATCTCGGCCTAACCATAGTTCTATTTTGCACCCACCCAAGAAACTTTAAATTAGTATAGGAATATCAAGCATATAGTCCATAATCTTTGATTTTTTTCCAGTTGTCCCAATAACGTTCTCTGTGCCTTGTGAAAAGTCCAAAAGCAGTCATTTCACTCATTGCCTTTTCGTTGCTTCTTAAAATAAAGCCGCTCTTCTTGGCCTTTTTTCTTTATTTCTTTTTCTGAACTCATGACATTGGCATTTTTGAGACGAGACAACTTTCCTTATAGAAAGCCCTGCAATGCAGATTTATCTATTTCCTGAGATTTATATTTCATATTTCCAACCATTGATGGTACTCAGTTTGATCTATTAGATTTACTTTCTCTCTCATTATTTTCATTGTCAAAGCTATCGTTTACCCTTGTAATTCAGGGGAAGCAGTTGCACTGTGGTTTAAGTGTTCGACTGCTAACCACAAGACCCGTGGCTCAAACCCTCCAGCTTTCTGAGCAAGAAAGATGAGCTTATCTGCCCGTATAAAGATTCACGAAGCCTCAGAAATTCTATATGGGGTCTCTATGAGTTGGAGTGAAGTAGCTGGCAGTGGGTAAAATATGGGGTGATACTTTGAGACCATGTGAATATGTACTCCATTACAGCACCCATTGGTGATCCTTGCTTAAATCAACTGGGGGCTGCAAAATGATGATTATCTAAACTGCCATCGTGTATGTATTTATTAGCTGCCATTCTGGGAAATATTCCCCCCCCCCCACTTAGTATTGCTATAAACTCAAAGGTTTTGGGGGTTTTTTATTTGATCATTATTCCATTTTCTACAATCCATTACTGTTTGTCCATTGTTTTGGTTTGGTTGGGTTTTTTATGTTCAAAGTGTCCAAATCTTGTCCAATTTTTTCATGTCTCCATTCTTTTATACTTACCACCTGGAATCAGCTAGATCTCCAAGGAGTCCTTTTACTAGAGAGTATATTGAGGGAGCAAATAACAAATTCACTGCTATCAAGTCAATTCCCACTCAAAATGACCCTGTAGGCACAGAGTGTACTACTTAGGGCTTTCATGTTTTTCACAGTGAGCGACTGGTGTGTTTGAACTGTTAACCTTACTGTTAGCAGCCCAGTGCTTAACCCTCTGGACAATTAGTATGTTAATTGCTTCTACTCCAGTGGGGAGAACTATATTTTTTCTTTTTTAAATCTTGAATTCACACAAAGGCCTGCAATTACGATCCAGTACCACAGGGCTTTTCCTCACTTTTTCCTCACCCATTGTTAACGCTGGGACTCGACAGCATAAGCACACTTACTCGTTTGTTCTGTCTTGTAAAATATAGAAAATAATTTCACAATCATTACACTAAGAGCACTATGAACAAGTCATATTGATTCCAATGAAGTTTCCTTTACTTTTCCGACTTGCCATCCAAATTCTGTCTGTCCAAACTCAAGAGCCTAAAAGATTCAGATAGCAAGGCTGTGTGTGTGTGTTTGTGTGTGTATGTGTATTGTCATACTGATCTTGACTGTATGACTGGGGCTTTTTCCTCCCTGTGTTACTACGTCTGGTCTCATTTATGTAAAGTATGGAGAGATCCCTGTTGTACAAAGTGCTCAGGTTGACAGCTCATCCCAGAAGTTCTTTGAGCAAAAGAGGCCTGGTGATCTGCTCTTACAAAGATGGCAACCGTAGAAACCCTGTGGGACAGGTCTGCTGCTGCCCCGCTTTGGGGTTACTCTGGAGTCCGAATGCATTGGAGAGCACACAGCAACAGCAGTATATAGTTTAATATAATAAAAATGTGTCAATGTTTATGTCCAATATCTGTTGATGTTTCATGTTGATTACTGCTTAAATTTTGTTCCAGGTAAACTTTAGGAGAAAGGCACCTTGCCCATTAATACTTCCTTCAGCCATGTATGAGAATGTGCATTTTTCCATGCCTGAGGAAGTTTGAACCTTGGGAAGACTGGTTAAGGGTTTAGAACCTAGATTAAGACTTGAATAGACTTAGAAAAAATAAAAAGAAATTATCCACCCTCTAATTTAGGAGAAAGGAACTCTAGCAGGGTTACAAACATTGGACTGCGCAAGGTCAACACTTCAAACCCACCCGCTACTCTGGGGGAGAACGATGATGCTATCTGTTCCTGTTAAGATTTACAGCCTTGGCAACTGGACATCCTCTTACAGAGGGGTCACAGGGAGGAGAAGGGCCAGTCAGAGTGCAGTGTAGCAATGATGAGACACAACTTTCCTCTAGTTTTTAGTGCTTTCTCTCCCTCCCCCCCAAAATCATGTTCCCAATCCTACTTTACAAATCCGCTGGCCCGGAGGATATACACTGGTACAGATAGGAACTGGAAACACAAAGGAATCCAGGACAGATGATCCCCTCATGACCGGTGGTGAAAATGGCGATACCGGGAGGGTAGAGAGAAGGTTGGGGAGAAGGGGGGGAACAGATTACAAGGATCTACATATAACCTCCTTCCTGAGGGACAGACAGAGAAGTGGGACAAGGGGGGGACATCGGATGGTGTGAGATATGACAAAATAATAATAATGTATAAATTATCAAGGGCTCATGGGGGAGGGGAAAAATGAGCAGATACCTGGAGCTCAAATGGAAAGCAAATGTTTTGAGAATGATGAGGGAAACAGGAGTGCTTGACACAATGGATGCTTGTGTAGATTGTGATAAGAGTTGTACAAGCCCCCAATAAAATTATTTAATTAAAAAAAAATATTTACAGCCATACAAACTCTATATTGGGTTTGATAAGTCAGAATAGACTGCTTTGCAATAGGGTTTTTTTACCTCCCAACCCAGGAGAAATCTAATAGATTTGTAACACTATTGTGTTACCTATGTGTTTTATGAACTGTTAACTAGTTTACTTTCTTCTAGGTTTAATTATATTAATTTTATCCTTTAATTATCTTCCATAATTCCATTGCCTGTGTGCTTTATCTTCCTTCTGTATTCCTTACACACACACAACATACACACACACCCTACCAAAAGGTCACTTTTCTCGCTGAGGAAAATTCTATTTGATACTAAAGAACCACTTGTGCTAATATCTTTCCCAGAGAATAAGAAAATTGCTCTAACCTGTGTATCATGCTTGGGTTAAATAAAAATTTTCCCCCCAGTATCTAACCCAGTTTAGATTTTATGGCTTATACTCCAAACCCTTAGTACTATGTTTGTATACTAATTGAGACATTCATTTAGACCAAGAACAGCATTCCAAATAGGTGTGGTATAAGCAAAATCAGAGATAGGTGCTCTCCATTACCATTGGAGTTTCAGAGCAGTAATGAAAAATACCAAGAAATGGGTTTGAAAATGGTGAAATGACAGTGAAATTTGGGGAGTTATAATTGAGCAGGTATTCTGAGTCCTTTCCTCCTTTTTTTCTCTTAGTACTGGATGAACGAATACACCTCATCCATTGGAATTGGAGTTTTCCATTCAGGAATTGAAGTATATGGAAGAGGTATGTATACACAGCCCCCCCCCCCCCCTCTTTTAAGGAAGGGGGAAAAAGCCATGACTCTATAACCTTTTTTTAAAAATACAGCTATATTTTAACACATTGCATTTTGCACTTATAATACATTACTAATTATGTAAGTACTTTACTTCTTTTCCCTGTGTACATATTCCATCCTCAAGGATTGAGAATACCCAGAAATTTGGTATAGCAACTTAAACCTTTTAAAATTTGCTACTCAATGTGCTATAAATGTGGGTCCTTCAAAATCTTCCTGTGGAACAATGCGAAGCATCTATTCTCATTTATTGGCCTAATCCTCCTCTTCAATGGTGGGTCCAAAAGGGAAGCCCCTCAAGCTTTCCTCCCGGCGTGCCTCCAGCACTCTAGTACAACTTGCTAACAGTGGGTGCAGATTTCCGCCAGCTCTTCCTGCTGATGATCAAAGGCTCTTCTGCCACCCGATTCTTACCAGGCCACTTGATAATTTCGTTACACGTACCAAGAATATTCTGTTTGTCTTCATTGTTGATCTTGCCTTGAAGCATTTCAACTTCCAACTGGTACTTTCATGCTAAATACATAAGATTCAAAGGAAGTCTTATCCCACTATTTCTCAACTTCTGCTTTTTTACTTCTCAGCTCCTGGGCCATATATTCAGAATCTTCTTTACTCAAGTGACCTTTGTCATTAATTATGGCAATCATGTTATCTTTACAACAGAGACATTGTGAATGCCAATAACATCAATATCAAAAGGCACTTCAATCTGATGAACACTGAACACCACAGGGTGCAAGAAGAGGTAGGCCAGTGAGCTCAAACTTGCCAACCAGGTTGTTGTCCTCATGGCACATTCACCTTCATAAACTGAATCGGTACACTGGGCTGGTTGTCAGCGTCGGTTGTGAAGTTCTGTGCATTCTTGGTAGGTGTATTAGGCTGAGTTGGCTAAAGAATCGAATTCAGTGATACATGTATGTGTAAGAGAGCTTTGTGTTAAAGAAGTAATTCTATATCAAGCAAACATCCCGGCCCAGTCCAGATCAAGTCCATAACTGCAATGGTAGTCCATAAGTCCCTCTTCAGATTCAGTGCAGTCATGTGCAACAATGCAGATGCAGAATGCAGTAGCATCACAGGCTGGTGGGTGCAAAGTCTTGTGGATCCAGTGGCAGTGAAAATATTACAGGGCTCTCACAGGTCTCAGCGTTGCTCTGGCAAATCTCCATGTGGCTCATCAACAGCAAGGGTGAAGCAGAGAGAAAGGGGAGATTCCCAGGACCCTCCTTATGAGAAGCCACGCCCACAAGGAGGCGTTAACAGGCTGACCTGATTGACAAGCTAAACTCCACGCCTTCACTCTTATACCTTCAAGTTAACACGAGATTATATAACTACCACAGTAAGAATGGTAATACTATACTTGATGAGAACATGTATGACTCCTCCAGCAGCTTCAATACAAAGAGAAAAAGGAGTGACATCGAAGGGCAGCAAATCTCGAATATTTTCAGATCTGTCTCCCAGTAAGATGGCTGCCTGGACAGCCGTACTGAAAGCAACAATCCCAATAGGTTGATGCTCTTGTTTAATTCTTTTCCATTGAAGAAAAGTTTCTGAGTCTTGGAAATTCAGGTAGAGGCACCCACCAAAAGAATGTCATGTTATTGATCTGGGACTTGTCTGACCTGGAGGCTTGTTTCCACCGGGTCAGAATGCCACTGAAAAGGCATCATTCAGGTCTTCACATCAGGCATGAGTAATGGAGGTATAGAAGTCGATTGCCTCCTATAGAGAATCTCAGTATTAGCTGAGTATTGAAAGAGAGTGTACACACTCCACATGTTAAAGCAGTTTGTAGGCAAAGTACAGCTCTCATCCTCACGGATGTCTTTTTTATGCTTGTGCTTGAACTCAGCAGTAAAATGGTCGACAGTTTACTCATAAACATTTTCCACCTAAATGGGTGCCTCGATCTACAGATTATACCTCGAAGACCTTATCTGACATAGGGAGGACTGACAAATCAGAAATGCCACCTCCTAAGTCAGAAAGCAGTACATGTCTTTCAGCACCAACCTTGTTGTCTAAGCCATAAGCAGTAGCAGCAGCAATTGGCTCGCTGATGATTCTGCGTGCCTGGAATCTAGCGGTGGTTCTGGCATCTGTGGTAGCCGCGCCTCCTAAACTTATCTGCCTTATTTTTGCTGTCTTATTCTATGCTTAATAAATCTTAGGTGATGAGGTTAATTGAATGTTTGAATTCTTTATAACTGCCCATTCTTCTTAGCCACTTCTACGTATCAGTGAGGTGCCAGGATTAGGGCCAGAATTTTCATTCTTCCTGACTTGGAAGCTTTCTCCATTTTTGTTCTGTTTGAGAGTGTTTAGTGAACCCATGCCTTCCCAGAGCCTTCGAATCCTTACCACCAGTAAGTTCCCTCCTTGCTGAAAAGATTGGCTAGGTGGGACAGAGGGTCTGTATGTGGGTGACTGTATATGAGTATATTCATTTAGAAGCTCCCTTTTTCTGGAGTGAAGGAAATGTAGTTCATTTCACTGTGTTTGCTAATGAATTCCAAAGATAATTCAAGACTCTTCATCTCAGAAACCACAAAAGCTCAACTGCTCTTAGGTAATTTTCCCCAGTAAAGTTTGAGTTTGACATTAGATCACTATAACTTGAACAGTGACCACCTACCTAATTTGACGTAGGTCTGCAGAGAGACTGCATTCGCCTCTATGTGCCACTCACCCGCCTGTTGGCAGTGTGACCATAGAGAATGTAGGGCTGTCAAGATTACCTTGGAGGCTCTTTCAGGATTTGACTTTCAGGTCTTTTGCCTCATTGTTTTATACCAGGAACAGGGAAATGAGAAGTTTGGGAGCACATTTTTGTAAACGGAATCCTATTTAGGTGATATTATTGTCCTCATTTAGTAAAGCTAATTGGCATTGTGTTGGAAGTGTACGTTACATACTAAAAATCATGAGTTTCTCGTTTCAGAATTTGCTTATGGTGGCCACCCTTACCCTTTTTCTGGAATATTTGAAATTTCCCCAGGAAATGCTTCTGAACTAGGAGAAACATTTAAATTTAAGTAAGTAGGGTGGAGAATTTCTATTGCACTAAGATGCTAAAGCTTATTTTCAGGCATATAACATTAATCCTTTAGTTTTTTTAAATATTACAGCAAGTTGAAATGCTTTGTAAATGCTGTTTTTGTTGCTGACACTGTATTTTAAAATCAAAATTTATTTTAAAATTAAGCTTGTTATTTTATAAAGATAAGCATCAGCCAAATAAAGTGATTGAAATAATCTGGTCTGTTGCTTTCATTCAAGACCCTGTTATACGGTGGTTTGTGTGCTTTTAAAGTGTTTTACCTTCTCCAGAAGACTTGTTTTATAAGGCTCTCTTCCCCTTCCAACACTCCTATTTAGAGGGAGGAGGAGGAAAGTTTTATTATAGTCTGCCAATGTCATGGTACAACTATAAGCAAACCTAAAGTGTGTAGATCTGAGGGTCTTTTGAAACTTTATCAGTAGAAAATAACACCCAGAAGATGAATACTAATAATCATATTTTCTTAATTAAGATTTAAATCCAAATTGATCTATACAATCTTAGTTTGAACAAGGTTTAAAGGAACTTTTGGGGTAATAATCATTAAGAACCTGCCATGTCACTCTGTGATGCTCACTTTCCTGACGTGATCACTGAAGAAAAAAATAGGTGCATAAGCAATTTGGTGAAGAAAGCTGATGGTACCCGGCTATCAAAAGATGTAACATCTGGGGTCTTAAACGCTTGAAGTTAAGCAACCATCTAGCAGGGAAGCAACAAAGCCCACATGGAACAAGCACACCAGTCTGTGTGATCATGAGATGTCAACAGGATCAGATATCAGGCATCAGAAGACCCCATACAATCACAGCCATGCGAATGAGTGGGCTCAGAGTGGAGACCCAAAGCCCATCTGTAGATAATTGGACATCTCCCCTCACAGAAGGGTCACAAGGAAAGGGCGAGTCCGCTAAAGTGCAATATAGCACCAATGAAACATACAACTTTCCTCTAGTTCTTTAATGCTTCTCCACCCCCACCCCACTATCATGACCCCAGTTCTACCTTACAAACCCAGCTAGACTAGAGCATGTACACTGGTACAGATAAGAGCGCTCAACACATGGAATCCAGTACAGATAAGCCCCCAGGAATTGTAATGGGAGTAGTGATATGAGAGTAGGGGGGAAGTAGGGGGAGAAGAGGGAGAAAGGGAACCGATCGCAATGATGTGACACCCACCCCACCCCCAACCACGCTCCCTCACGCAGGACAGAACAACAGAAACGTGGGTGAAGGAAGACGGGATGGTGTAAGATATGGAAATAACAATAATGTATGATGTATCAAGGGTTCATGAGGATGGGGCAAGGAGGGAAAGAAAAGGAGCTGATACCATGGGCTCAAGTAGAAAGAAAATGTTTTGAAAATGATGGCAACATATGAACAATGTGCTTGATACAATTGCTGTATGGATTGTTTTAAGAGCTATAAGAGCCCCGCACCGATAAAATAATTAATTTTTTTTTAAAAACTGTTGTGAAAAATTAAAGGTACGGTTATACAATTGAATTCAGTAGAGAGCTACCGATTTTTAACATTTTAGTCCCTGGTTCTCTTATTATACCACTGAAATTGCACACTGGAGTACTGTAACTCTATCCTGAATTCACTTCTTAGGTCTTTTTAGCTAGACTACTAGAGAAAATTATTTTCTCAGTACTTTCTGTGTCCTTGTATACCTAACTTGTATCTAACTAAGCTTCCACTTTTTATTGAATAATGCCTGTTACGTTTCCAAGGTAGTTTTCATGTTCTTTGTTTCTTTGATAATGCTTTAAAAAGAAATTAGTCCAATCTGACCATTTCAGCTTCCTGCTGCACAGAAGCAGATAACTTAAAAATGTTATTTCTAACAGAATGATGGCCAGTCCCTTGATAATGAGCATGGTTAAGCTGGGATATTTGCATCATAGGTCTGACTGTCTGTTAATGTGACCAAAATACTGTAACCGTTGTGAAACTAACTGATGTTACCAGTAGTGTGCTTAAGGACTTTTCCTTCGCACACTGCCCTCAACAAAGCAGAAACGAAACTAATTGAAGTGGAAAAATGTATCTCCTTTACTTATTACATTAACCCTGCTTTGTTAAGCAATTTTAATATTCTTTGAAACATAATTATAAATGCTCAACGCTCACACAGCATTGTTCTCTTTTTTCCTTTGTTTTTTTAAGAGAAGCTGTTGTTTTAGGAAGTACGGACTTCCTAGAAGATGATATAGAAAAAATTGTAGAAGAACTGGGAAAAGAATACAAAGGCAATGCATATCATTTGATGCACAAAAACTGCAATCACTTTTCTTCAGCTTTATCAGAGGTAAATTAAATTTCATCCTAAATGTTTTGCAAATAAATACTGGATATTAATTGATGGCAACTAAATACGGAAGTGTATTACTTATACTGCTATATTCAGTCTTAACTTTTTTCACCCGGATTTTTTTACAGTATGTAAAATTTAGTATTGTGTTTCTTCACTTTTTTTCAAAAATAGCTTGAAACTTTCACTTAAGAAAGAAAAAAGAAACACCTACGATACTTGTAAACCACTAAGATTCGCTTTTGCTAAATTTTAGAGTCCACCCTGATTTTTCCCCCCAGCTTTTACTTATTAACGAGTCTAGTATCTCGAAATTTTATTTTGTAACCTGTATACACAGGCATGCATTTGCCTTCTCAGTTCTTGAATCCCAAATAAAAGAGAGCAAAACTGGACTAAAAAAGAAAATAGGGAAAGGAATCAAAAGGTATAAAAACAGTGCTTAATCAAACAGCTTGTCTGCTTTCTGACTCCTAGTAGATGGTTGCGGTGACAGTATCAAGGTTTCCAAAGACCTATGCTGGCATCATAGGTACTGTAAGAATGGCTTGGAGGCAGCGTCTGATCTCTGGCTTCACAGGGAAATAGGGCATCAAATTCAGCATCAGTCCATGGCTGATTCCTACCAGGAAGTCAGACACGCCTCCATCCTCCATCCTTCTTTACCAAATCTGATACCAGTTGTCCTTCCCCAGGCTCTCTACTTACTTGCTAGGTTTGATACACAGAATTCATAGACAATACCTTGTATTAAGGGGTTTATTAGGGAAGTTAACAAGTTACAATTCAGGATCAGAAATGCTCAGGATATAATTCTTCAGTCAGGACACCATTTTCTCAGTCATTCCTGCAGGCATGACTCAGCCTCTCGGCCCTGTAGCACCTTGGCCTCTGCCCAGCTCTTTTAGTGCTACCAATAAATACCCAAAGGGCATTCCACTCTGCCATCATCATCAGCCAGAGGATGCTCAGCTCTAGCTCTGGGTCACCAAATCTGGTTCCCCCAATTAAGTGCCTAGAGACAACCTATTCTGCAAGCGAGGCTCCTGCCTGAATATAGTCAGCTTTCTTGACCCTTAGGCCAATCTCGCACTCTTGGTGCTGTTGGCTTTACTCCCACACTTCTTCACCACTTCCCTAGGGTCACAGCCCTGTTTCCTGAACAGAGGAGACTGAGCATGCAGTGATCTCGGGGCCCAAATAACATGCTCCTGTGCTCCTTTCTTGATAGTAGTGAGAGCCCTCCACTCCTGCTTTTGAGGTGGCTCATTTTAAAGTGGGGTAACAAAACTGACCAACTTTCCACGTTAGAGATTCATATACCCTATTTGCATGGTCCTACCCAGTCATTCTGGTAAGAGTTACAAAGACTAGCTAAAAGAAGCTTATCAAGTAACTTGCTGCACCACAAATGCCTGACCCTTTTTACTTCCCTCAACTTGTGCAACATGGCTTTCAAATGCAGTGGTGGATTAGCAGTATCTCGGTATTACTTAGGAATTTGTGAGATAAGCTTAATCCATAATGTGGATGGACCTGGAGGAAATTATGCTGAGTGAAATTTCTTAATCACTAAAGGACAAATTTCTAAGAGTCAAAAATTTTTCACAGAAGGAAACGTTTTTGTGGTTACCCAGGACGAAAAGGAAGTTGGTAAAGCAGGGTCTAGAGGGTAGACATTTGAGTATGCTAACTTGGGTGGAGGGTACAGCCACATACCATAATGAGGTCAGCACAAAATGATCAAGGGAGGACTGGGAGGAACACAAGCGTTAAATGCAACCGTGGGAAATAATGGTTACATACACTATCTTGTAATAACAGTAATGACTAATCTACAAGTAGATACATGCATAGGCATGTAAGTGAATAGGTATGGGAAAGCAAATGGAACTGCACCCATGGATATACTTAGGTTTGACAGGATAATTCCACATAGGTATTTACATTTGCTACTCAGAGTATAGTAGAGCATGCAGGGGCAAAGTTATGAAAACCATGAGGTAATAGGTCACTGGGTGGACCTGGGGCTCAGGATCCTGTTTTCAGAGAACACTGAGGTCGTTTGGCATAATATACCCTACAAAGAAAATAGTCTGCATCCTGCCTTAGTGAAGTAACTAAATAAGGTGGAATATTCTATCAGAGCAAAGAATGAAGAAACTTAAAGTTGCATAGAAAAAAAGTTAGTCCAGAGAAGTAATAAACCACCTAACCTCTGCCTTCAAGCTACGTGAAAACAAGAACAAAAATCCCCTCACTGCTCTCGAGTTGATTCTGACTCACAGTGACCCTAAATAGGTTAGAACTGCCCCTTGGGTTTCTGAGACTGTAACTTTGTGGGAGTAGAAAGCCTCATCTTTCTCCCTTGGAGCAGCTGGTAGTTTTGAACTGCTGATCTTGAGGTGAGCACCCCAGCGCTATGCCACTAGGGCTCCTAAAGAACTATATGATATTAAGCTGTCACTAATGTCTCCTGAAAGGGATCACAGTAAAGGTTCTGAATATGGTAGAAGAGAAGTATGGAACAAAACTCACTAATTAGAAAAGAGTCTTGTCATTGGAATCCCTAAGACCTTGGCCCTTAATCTTTAATCCCCTTATAACTGGAAACTGAACTCAGCCCTATGGGTCAATTCTTAGTCCAAAAATCAATTTGCCTCTAAAATCAACAGTAACAGCAGGGAGGTTAGAACAACCAACCATTCAAGATTAAAAAGAGTAGTAGTTTCCCAAAGACCAAGTTCAGAGGGCATACAGAAGGGCAAATGGAGACATGCAGGAAGTGAGATGAGGGATTGTCGTCAGTGGCATACAACAATATGTGTATGTCTTGTTAAATGGAAGTCTGATATGCTCTCTGAACTTTCGCGCAAATCACAATAAGAAGTTTTTAAACTTGCCTAGTAAGCCTAAAGAGCCCTATTGGCACACTGGTTAAACACTTGGCTGCTACCCAAGGCCGGCAGTTCAAGCCCACGCAGTGGCTTCACACAAGAAAGCTACATGACTTGCTTTTGTAAATATTTATTAGCAAGAAGTCCCCATGAGGCAGCTCTACTCTGTCGAAGGGGTCTGTGTAAGTCAACATTACTTCTGTGACACCTGACAGCAAGTTTACATCAGTGACAGCATTGTTCAGAAGTGTATATATGTAATCATTTGCAAACAGGCAAAATCCTATCTAATTATAGTTGATTATTGGCACATGCTTTCTTGTTCAGCATGTGCTAAACTTCCGGAAAATCATCATTTAACATCATGCCGTCGTCATGTGAGGTGCTTCCTCTTCTACAGGGTAGATAAAATGCTAGTCTGTGAGCCCACGGGAGCCCCCTCCACCTATGATTGCATGGTCTTCAAACTGAAAATGTTTTTTACATTTTTAAGTGCGTGGGGAGGAGATTTTTAAATATATGCTAATACCTGTAAATTATATGAAACTCCAATGTTAATGGTATTAGAGGTCTGCTTGAAACAATCACAGTCACTTGTGTGTTATCTGTGACTATTCTCCAGGAGCCCTGGTGGTGTGGTGGGTTAGGTTACGCATGTTAAATCCACCAGCCTTTCCAGAGAAGGGCCTGCCTATGGATGTGGCTGAGAAGAGGCTGTCCTAATTGAAGAATTGTATCCCAGTTGTTTCTGATCTTGAGTTGTAGCCTGAACTTCCACAATAAACTCCATAAATGTATTATCTGAGTTCTCTGTGGCTATTCCAATGAATTACTGATCCTAGCAGAGAAATAGTGTCATTGGTGAGATGGTTGGTATCAGACTTGGAAAAGGTTAGAGGGTAGAAACACTGCTGACATCCGCCTAGGAGTCAGCCTGGCATGATTAATACTGATGGTTCTCTTTCCCCTCCTTGTGAAGGTAGAGAAGATCAGACATCACCACACACCATTTGAATACCAGGTTATTTTGTAACATTAATTCCTTATTATTATCCAAATGTACAATGTTCGAGTTTCCTTGATTGTTTCATAATTTTGTAATAGCGTATATGAATCAAGACTTCAAGAAAACTCATAAGCTAGCTTATCTTAAGATATACATGAGGGCTTCAGGAAGTGCTACAACGTAGTTATGTGTTGTGCTGCAGTTCGCCAGGTCAGCAGTTCAAACCATTGGCCAGCTCCGTGGGAGAAAGTCGGGACTTTCTACTCCAGTAAACAATCTCGGACACCTGCAGGGGCAATTCTACCCTGTCTATAGAGTTGCTGTGAGTCAGCATTGACTCAGTGGCAGTGAATATGGTTTGGGTCAGAAAGTGTGGGAGATAACTCCATTATCTTTTAATTCCAATTTTACTACACACTTTTTGGTGCCGCCTCATAATCTTTAGAGGAAAGGAGGATAAATACTTGAGTCTTTCCTTTTACTTGCCAGTGTTCAAAAAATAAATTGGTTTATATGCAAAAATGAGTTAACACAATAGGTACATGACTACTGTCCTTAGAAAGGCTTGCTTACGTGGTGGTTGGCTCTTGGTTAGTAGGAGGGACATTGGTTATGACAGATTCTCACTATTCTTAGAACTGGTAAAAGTGACTCACAGCTGAACTGTGCAAACAGCACGGTTTATTGCTAACTACTACATGGCCTTCTGAGAGTCTAGCTTTTTAGTGCCTATGTGACCAGATCCCAAGAAAAACCTTGAGCATTTAGACCATGGACCTTCCCTGTTAGAAGACAGTTTCACATGTGTTTCATAGCTCGTTGCTAGAAGAATTGAGAGTATTCCCTGATTCCTTTGGGATACACACCTTTTGTCTTACATGTTAGAAGAAGAAGGCAGAAGCAATAGCGTATGTCTAGTTTTCTCTGAATATTGTCCTATGTCTCTTTCTTCTTTGTACAATTTGCTTTGTATCTTTTCACTATAGTAAATCATAGCTGTAAGTATGATGTGTTAGGGTTCTCTCGAGAGATAAAACCAAACTGCTGATAATTTAATATATTTATTTATAAAGATAAGTAGATATATAAAAAGA